CCCCCTCTGCAGAGATCTGTACGTCGTGTTCAAGAAGTATGACGACAATGACCGGATCAAGATGTCCAATCTGCGGCTAGCGTTCAACGACCTGCAGCTCTTCCCATCACACTCTCAGAGTAGGTTCACTTCTCTGTAGTTCTCTGTAGTTCTCTGTTGTATCTGTTGTTGGCTCTGTTAGTGTTGTGGGTTGTTGGCGGGTGGACGTGTGGTTTGGTCCTTCTTTCCTATCAAACATCTATACTTGTTTTCTCTCTTCCTTCTTTTTTGTGTTCTCTCTTCCTTCTTTTTTGTGTTCTCTCTTCCTTCTTTCTTGTGTTCTCTCTTCCTTCTTTTTCTGTTTGTTACTCTCTTGGAAAACTTCTATTCTTTGGGAGTCTCTGGAGCCTTCTGGGCTACTTTCTCCTGTTCTCTGTTCTCTGTCCCTTTTCTGTAATTACGTTCGCTTCACGAGTGAGCTGAGGATATTATAATGATCACATTAATATTAATGATGATGATGATAATTATTATAATGATGACGGTGGTGGTGGTGGTGGTGAATAATAATAATAATAATAATAATAATAATAATAATAATAATAATAATAAAATCATAATAATAATAAATATAATAATAGTAATAATATAAAAAATAATAATCATAATAATAATATGATAATAGTAATTATAACAATAATAATAATAATAATAATAGCATTTCCACTAAATAACGAGCTCTATACGCGCTTTACAATATTATTACGCCGACGACCCGAAAGCCTGGTGAAACCATCTCGACTCCCGGTGAAGCTTACAGCAGTGCAAGTTGCCATTTTACAGACGCTAAAACACTTTCATACGGGCAGACAAGATCTTGGCTTTTTATGACCTGGTTCCCGTTCACGTCAGCGTGAAGTGAGGAAAATTCATCATGTCGTGTAAAATGACATTCCCAAGGTCACAGCGTACGTTGGTCGAGCCGAGCTTCGAACCCCCTTCACCTGTGACTGGCAGCCTCACAGTTTGCCCCAACTCCCCCACGGGGCAGTACCTCTGACTGAAGTGTCTTTAGGCCATTCC